GGCTGGCAGGCAAACACTCCCAGGCCCAAAACTAAATGAGATCAGAGTCTAACCCCAGCTGGAAAAGTGGAATGTATTAATGGAGAAAAAGATAACTCCTTGATTTGCCAAGCACACAAAACACGGATTGTTTTAGAGAGAGGGAGAAAGTCTAGGTTCTCAGATCCTGGAATAGCTGTTTAAAGTATGCTCATCATGACTGTTGGTCTGCTTCAAAGTTAGAGACCAGTTCTCCTCTACCAAGTAATCTGCATGGAGCATTCACATCCAGATATCATACACATCCATTCAGACAAGTGTTAAATCAGGAAGGTGAACCTATAGAACCTCTAAAATAGTACCAGCACGGAGAAGAGTTAGTCAAATGGGAAATTTTATGCTTTCCAGAAACACAAAAATAATATTTTATTCTTGTACAATTTAGAGTTATACCTGGCATGATTTTTCTCGAACAATATATATATCTATTATTCAATATGTTATTATTAAAATCTTATTCTCTCCTGCCTTCCTTCACTCCTTGAATTCCCTCCCACTCTGAAAGGTGGTTTTCACTGGAATTTTTCCTAAATCTGTTATTGGTTGGTTGGTTGGTTGCTTGGTTATTTGGTTGGTTGCTTGGTTGGTTGGCCTTTCTGATTGTGTGGGAAGGCATCCAGGAAACTCACAACTTCAAGGCTGGGAAGGTATCCCAGCTCTGAGGTGGAACAATGTCCCAAGAGTATCCTGAGACTCAGGAGCCCAGGAATCACACAGCTCTGAGGTGGGATAGTGTTCCAAGGATATCCTGAGGTACAGGAGCAGAGGAACCACAAAGCTCTGAGAGGAGACCTCTTAAGGAGACATTACAGCTCCCAAGGGAGGATTACCCCATCCTCTGATGAGCTGAGATGCTTAGGAGCCTGAGCTCTGCTCTTCTTTGCATCTTCTTTCTTCTCTTCTTCATTGCTTCTTCTGATGAGGGGGTCAAACCAGGCAGTAAATCTCTTAGAAGAAATTTATTGAAGGGACGAATCCAGGAGAGGAGGGATGAATCAAGGAATGACTGCCTCTGTGCTTAGGAGGAGGCAGCAGGAAATTGGGCAGACACAGCCTTCATATAGGATTTCTTAGGGGGCACAGCTTTCTAGTGCAGGTATATCTGCAGTGAGGATTGGTGAGATTTCAAATCGTCAGCTTGGGGAGCTCAGGGTTTGGTGGGCTTTCATGTTCAGGGATTGGTTAGTTTTCCTGTTCAGGGATTGGTGGGATTTTCTTCAGACTTTCACCTCAAATTAGCATAATCTGGGATAAGGCCTACTGAGAGGCTGGAGATGACTATCTGAGGGAGGAGCTGGGAGCTGGGCTTCTGGAGCTTCCTCCAGCAGGAGTCTGGCCACTTTTCTGCTTTGAGGGCTTATAAAGTATATAAAGAGTCAACTGTGAAAGCAGAAAGCTGAAGCAGGAAATGTTGTCATCATCATGAGCAGCTCCCATGGCAGTAAGCAGTAAAGGTTTGGCTTCCATCAGAGCAGTAGACTGAGGCAGAATAGTCACCATGGATAGCTCTCACTGAGGTGCTGCCATTTTGTCTCTTATCTCCACAGCCCCAGGGTGGGAAGAAGGGGCTGGCAGCATGCCACCTGAAGTTCTAGCGGCCTGCTGCTCAAGGACTAGACATAGATCTTGGGTAGGGGAGTAAAGGTATGGCTACTGGGGTGGGGCAGTGGGCCTCCACAGCTTGGGAGAGGCAGTGGGCTTACAGAGACAGCAAGATGGTTTGGGAGGGCTGCTATCTCTGCTGTGGCCTGGGCATCCTGCAGCTGCTTGGGGCAGCCTGGGATGGCCTGGTGAGGCTTGGGAGCAGGCTACACTGATTTGTCTCCGGGCTGCTATCATCCCTACGGTGGGCCGCTTTGATCGCTGCAGACACTTTAGCAAGGGAAGCCCTACAAGATCAGTTCTCAGACGCCTCTATATATCCACGGCTTCTCGCACGTCCCCAACTGTCACACGTCCTGTGCTGGGGCACAAGTCTAGGATCTTGTGCTGATAGGGCAAGTGTTATTCCACTGAGTCTGCCCCAAGCCCAAGAATCAATTCAACAAAGCATTCTTAAGAATATCTGAGTGGTGAGAGTGGCGAGGTGGTTCAGTTTGTAACGGCACCTGCCACCACGTCTGACTACCTGAGTTCCGTCCTCAGGAACCACATGCTGGAAAGAAAGAACTGAGTCTTACAAGTTGTTCTCTGACCATTAAGGTGTTCCAAGGCATGCACACACATATCCATGCAGACAATTACAGGAAATAAGGGAATGAAAGAATAACATAATTTTATTAGTTTTTTCAAAGTAGCTTTTAAAAAAACTTTTTATTGGTTCCTAGAGAATTTTACATCATGCACCCCAGTCACACTCATCTTCCCATCTCCTCATATGTGCCCTTCACTCTTACAACTTTCCCCACAAAATAAAAAACACACAAACAAAACAACCACAACAAAACCCAAAGCTGTTGTTGGTTATTAATATTTATTATTGATTTATCTTTTAGTTAAGTAGTGATTATTCTTAAACCAGCTGCATATCCAAATCACTATATAGGGACTAGGATTTATTTAATTAGCCTAGAGCATAATGCTGGGCAATCATTATTCCATCCTAAACCTCTAAGCTCACAGTTTTCTCCCATTCAGATTTTCTGTATTATATATGCTTTTAGTCATATCTTAGGTCTGGTTCATCTCTCCTGGTGGTTTCAAGTCCTCTCCTGCCAATTGCTCCCAATTGCTTCCTTCTCCTCCCCTCAGGACCAGGATGTCCCATCCTAGTCCCTCCATTGCTCAGCATTGGCTGGTTGTTTTATTGACAAAACAGAGAACAAATAGTAGCACATTTACACAAACCTGAGACAGGTGACGCTTAGAATAAATATCATAATGCAATGTCCGGATTGAAAGCAGATATTAGGGTAGAGAAATCAGTATTTGAATGAACAAGGGTAAATTGTATACGTTCCAGAAGAACATTATACCAACACAAAGCATAGAAACATCTCATCGCAGAAGCTGTAGTATGACAGTATATCTCCCTGCCCACACACCTTTACTTGCAAATGTTCATTGTAATGAGCCATGGGTCTGCTTCAAGATCTCTGGCTTCTGTGACAGCATCAGTGTTGGGTCATCACTGAGACTCTGCCTGGTTATCCTGTTGTTGCCCTGTGATGGAGATCCTGCAGCTTTGGATCAGCAGAACTGATCCAAAGCTAGTCCTTTCATGTGTCTCAACCATTCACAGGGGATAAAGATTTTGGGGTGGGCCAACTCAGAGCCCTGGAACTGGGCCTGGGTTGTAGCCGAGCTTGTCAGCACATTGCCTCTCCTTTATCTATACCACTAAGGCTAGCTCTCTAGTATTTCTCTGGCTAGCCCACCCAGTGCCCCCACCTGCAGGAGGCAGGGTCAGCTCTCTTGCTCTCATGCCCTAAGGGCCAGCTCCCCCACACCCATGCCTCCAGAGCAAGCTCCACTGTGCGTTCCAGTCAAGGCATGAGGCCCACTCTCCCAAGTGCTGCCTTCAAGGGGGTAGGACAGCTCTCCCCCTCTTAAACCCTTGGGGCTGGCTCACTCATACCTTAGCCATCAGGGATAGCTCCAATGTGTTGCCCAGTCGAGGCACAGGGCCTGCTCTCCTGAGTGCCATAAAGAGTGAAGGGGCAGTGCTAGCTCTAAAGCCCTCAAGTCCAGCTCTCTCAACTACCTACTGAAGTATTAAGGGAGGGCCTCATCTCTCCACTCATGCCACCTCACAGCATGAGTGGTGCAGCCATTGGGGCTGCTCACCTGTGCCCTCTCCACCAGTGCCAGCTCTACTGTGATGCCCAGATGAGGTGCAGGACCTTCTCTCCCAAGTGCTGCAGTTGACTGCCTCAGGTGGCAATGGGAAAGGGGGTGGAGGGCATCTCCCCTCCCCCACCATCCTCACCTAGTCCACCCCATATGAGAATAGTGGCAGCACCAGCTCGCCATTGCTTATGACCTCAGGGTGGCTCACGTACACCCCAGCCACCAGAGCCAGCTCTACTGTGCTGCTTGAGTAAGGTTCAGCTCACCTGAGTGTTGCATCTGGTCAGGGGCAGGGCCAGCTCTCCAGCAAGACCCTGGGGCTAGCTGTCCTGACTACCAGAGGTGTGGGAGGGGTTATCACTTCTGTGCCAGTGCCATCCCACAGCTGGCAGGGTTAGCGCTCTCACACTCATGCCCTCGGAGCAGCTCAAACCACCCCCCAGGAGCTCAAACCACCCCCCACCCCAACCACCACTGTGCTGCCTGGGGAGACCCAGGGATGGGGCCAGCTCTCCAGAGCACCACAGTCAATGAGAGGCTGAGTCAATTCTGCATAGCCCCTGGAAATCCAGGTGGTCCCCAGCAGCTGCCCCACCCAACGGATGTGCCATGTTCTCTAGTAGTATATGAACAATGAACATCAACTCCTTCTGCTGCATAGCCATAGACCCAGACATGGCCCTCAGTGGCAGCTTAGGCTGGGACCTCACAAGAGCCCCAGGTGGCAGGGCTGGCCACTCCAAACAGGCTATTCTCTACCCCTGAGTCTCCAGTTTCATCTCCCTTCATAATGCTTAAGTTTCTCTGCTTCTCTTTCTCTCCCTTCTGATCACCACATACTCACCCATCATGATGGCTTTCACTACAGGCTGGCCCTGCAGCTGGCAGGCCCCTGGGTGACTTCCTCTGTGCTTCCTGTATGGCGGCAAGGGGGTGTTGAGGGCCAGCCTGTGCAGAGCACCGCAGGGAAGGTCTGTGGGTGGCATGGCAGTCCGAAGCAGGCCAGGCTGCTGTGTGGTGGTAGGTGGGGCTCTGTGTGTCTATGGACCTGCCAGTATGGTAGGGTGGAGGCTGTCTTTCCCTACCCTCACGTCATGGCATGGCAGAACTTAGGTCTCTGTCTGTCTTTCTCCTCTTGCTCTGCATTGCCTGGGTTTGATTTAATTTGATTTTAATGTATTCTAGGCATAAAACAGCTTTGACCCTCAAGACAGGCATCAAACTAGAATAAACAAAGGACTGCCATCTGCTCTGCCCCTGAATGGTATAAGAACGCCACTACCACCAAGGTGTCTCTTTCCCCATTGTCAGGGGGTCAATAATGTAATTTTAAAACTTAAAAAAAAAATCTTTAAACATGAGTGGTGAGTTTTGCCTTTATGGATCCTAAAGGTTAATAAGGCAAACTCCTTGTTCTGTGCATTTATGAACTTGCATAAGTTTTCTTGACTATTTTGGCATGACATATTTATTAATGAGTATTTGAATGTGGCATGGCATACTTATTAATGAAATTATAAATGCATATATGTGTGTGTATATATATACACATATAAAGTTGATGGTGTCCAGCCTCAATCTTTTGGGATTACTGACTGCACTGAGTCCTAACTGGTTACAAATGTTGCATCTGATCTTTGTTTATTCTCTTTAAATTCTTCCTTAGCTCTAAACCAGAACCTTGGCATATTTTGAAAAATACCTCTTTACAATTTCTTATCATCATGACCCTTTAAAAATGAATGTTTCAGAGACTGGAGAATTTATCTTCCAATTTGCACATTCTTTGAGAAGTGCAGCTATCACAAATAGGAGGAAACTGAGGCAAAATTGTGAAGAAATTTCTTTCAGCTGAGTGAAGTCATGGAAAGAAACCAATGGAGCGTGCACCGGAAGTCCGTGGTTTGAATTCTTGCACATTACCCTGCCACAGCAACCTGCTGTCTGTTGATTGCTGGCACCTACCAGCCACTTTGCTTGCATTAGTATTAACCTAATTTGGGGACAGCATCTCTCACTCTGTCAAGGTCCCAGGCTGACCTTGAACTTACTTTGTAGCTCAGTCTGCCTTTTCAAATTCATAGAGTTCTCCTGCCTCAGCCTCCCAGGGGCTGAGATTATAGGCATAAGCCACCACACCCAGCTTTTTAATTACTAGTTTTCAAATAATATTGTGGTTATTCCATCCACAGGTACATAATATGAACTAAAATAACTATTAAAATAAATGCCATATACCTCAAATCAAAAATGTTGCTGTGAAATTATCTTTCTTTTGGAAAGTTTAATTCTGAACACTGCTAATGGCAACAATATTATTAGGCCAATTAAATTAACATTTTTAAATTGTGTCAGGCATTCTGTTATGCAGCGGGCATTCTGTGTTATGCAATCGGCATTTATTACCTCAATATTTCCCAACTATAACCATTATAGTCTGATGCTTTTGGTAAAAACAAAAACAAACAAAAAAAACACAGTCTTTTCAATTCAACTGTTTTGTCATATATGTATCTTTAACCCACTCTCTGGGTCTAAGACCACCTTACAGCCTCTGTTCTGGGAACAGCAAGAACAATGCTTTGGAGTCTGGGGTGGGGGGAGCAGTTAGATCTTTTTTGTTTTCTATTTTCTAATCAGAAGACACTCGTTTTATATAGAATTGGGTATATGTTCCCTTGGTTAACACATCAGACTTCAAGCAGCTTTGACCATTAGTGCTAGAATGAAATACCATTCAAACAGCTCTGAAGGTAGTGGAAATACAGGGTGAAATAGCCACTCTTCACCTCTAGAACCGAGTGGAGCTAGCATGGCTACGTGAAGAACCTAAGAAGACATGGTGTCTATCACCCCTGCAAAGCAACCATTAAGTCAGTGTTGACCACCGAGTATATGGGTGAGAGCTGGACTCTGACCCCATGTCTCTAGTTATATGACACACCTTAACGATGTGAATCTTCTGCTTGGGGAGTTTTAAAATATCTCCTTATCATTGGGTTGTGAATGTCTTTTTGATCTTATAAGCCTAAAACTGTATTATAACTTGTAGCTCTCCTGGGTAGAGAGCCATTTATTAGTTTGCTATTTGTTTTGCTATGCAAATCTACTACTGACTTAAAGGGTAACTTGATTGAGTTTTTAATTTGTTAAATGTTATTATCACTGAAAAGGGATTTGCTATGTTGCTCAGGCTCTCCCCAAACTCTTCCCTCAAGTGATCTTCCTGCTTCAGCTTACCTAGTGCTAAAAGTATAGTTTTATGTACTGCCCTTGGCCATATTAATTCTGAATTTTATTTTATAAGGCTCCATGACATGCAAAGAATACAGAAGAGAAAAAAAAGCACATCATGGAATATCTTTTATTATTAAATTCAGTGAACAATGAGTATGTCAGTAACTTTAGAGATCAGTGGGATCCTGGTGCATACGTCTAATCTTAACAATGCATTGTAAAAGGATAGAAAAATTATCTCATTTGACTACTGGACTCACAGAAGCCTGGTCACAATTGTCATCAATCAAATTATATTTTGAAAGATAAGCAACAATACAAATTGATGGTAAAGAGATTCCTAACTAAGAGAAACCTGAACAAAGGTCCAAAATATGTCCAGTGACTAGGAATTCACCCAGTTGACTAGGCTCTATAGCAGACACACGGCAGTTACATGAGACAATGCTGAACAGGAATGCCTGGACCGTGGTTGATAAGTGCTAAAAACCCAAGGTGAAAGCCGTGTGTGAGTCTGAGAACAATAAGAATATGGTGAGTAGTTTTAATCATATGGGTTGTACGACTCCAGTCAAGCTTTATCAGGGTTAATAAGATCGTGAATTATGAAGGGAATGGGGGTGAGAGGCAGTTAGAACCAGGACTGGAGCCAGAAATTCCAGGCAGAGCCATAACACATATTTCCACTTGGATACCACATAAGTCAAGAAAACTCTTTTTTTTTCCTACCAGATGTTGCCTCCTGTGTCTTATTGAAAAGCCATCTCTGTTTCCTCCGCAGACAGGAAGCCATCTTCATCTGTGTTCTCCCTTTCCCCACCCCTGTATCTGATCCATCGAAAAATCTTGACTGTATCTCAAAAGGTCATTCCTTAATCCTCAACTGTTTCTCTTTATCTACCCCACTGAGCCCTTAGCCCTGAGAAGCCCAACATTCCTTGGAAAAAACTGTGACAACATCCCGGAAGGTCTTCTTTTCATATTCGCCAAAGGACAGCCAGAGAGGTATGTTCTAAGTGGAAATTAGATTCCAGGGCTGTCCTTCTTCTAGCACCCCTCCCAGGCAGGGTGCTTGCTGTACTTAGAGTAGATACACACTTTGGACAGTGACTTAAAATGGCTCCCACACTGTATCATCCATGTGAGCCTCAGATGTTGTCTTTCATTTTCCTCCAGTCCCATAATGCTGCAGCCTTCTGTCTATCATTTGAACATACCAGGCTCACTCTTACCTCAAGGCCCTTCTCGTTGCATGGAGGCAGCAGCATAGGTCTACTGGCAGAGTAGAATCCAAGTCTGAATCTTTACAGGGCAAGATCCTATCTTATTCAGTAAATTTATACATAACTGTTTTTGATAGCCACACACAAATATTTTTGGTTTGTGATTATAGCTTTATTACAGAAATTCTCTGAAATGAAAAGTCATTTATGAAAAAACTCCAAAAAGATTATTCTAGCTCATTTCCCACCCCTGAGTCTTTGGAGTTACACTTGGGTAGAAAAGAGGAGGGGGAGTTTCTCCTCCAAAGGCCTGCCCACCTCCCATGCTCCACAAGTTACAGTGAGTCCCACCCCACCCTATTTCTTATTCCATTTTCTCTATAGAACACTTGCTTTGTTCGCATATACAAAGCTTGCATGACTTCATGCCGCTGCGAAAGAATATATGCCCTTGAACATGTAAAATCTCCTTTGTTCCCTTCTTTTACCTGCCTCACCTCTAAGACATATGTCCAACTAAGCCACACTTAAGATTAAAGCACTAGGTGATTTTGTAATGGTAAATGTCTCCTGCGGACAGCCGTCTTCAGAATATTCTTAAATGGCTTTTTTCTCAATGCCTGCTGATAGAGGGGACAAGGGAGGTCATCCAAAGTAGTTGTCCATCCTTAAGGTACTTAATTCCACCATGAGACACCCCACTATAATGACTTCATGTAAACCTATCTACCTTACAAAGGCCTCGACTCTCAAATGCTTTCACACTGAGAAGTAAGAGCTTTGATGTCTGAATGGGGGCTAAGGAGCTCCAGCCACTGCCTCTCCTTATTAAAGGGTTCATACCTGAACTAATCAAAGAAAATTCTGTTTTTTTCTGACTTAACCTAGTGATCCTAGCAAGCAAAAGCAAGTCCATGACAGCAAGTCAGTCAGGTGTCTGTGAGCAGAGGCAAGGCTGGGCGTCCCACACACCTCCACGGAGAAAAGTCACATGGGACCTATCTCTACCACCCTCCCACGAGGTGTTATCCAAAAGGTAAGGTCCTCTTGCAAGGGATGAAGATAATGCCCATTCTGTATTCACTATTATTTCCTGAAAACAAAAACAAAAACAAAAAAACAAGCCAGAAGTCCTTGGAAAACTGGCTCGCCTCAGGTCTGGGACAAGAAATGTCCAAGATAAGCTTAGGCACTCTTTCATCCTGGTGAAAGAATGTTGTCAGAGACCTTTAGGGCAGCGGTTCTCAACCTTCCTAATGCTGCCGACCCTTTAATAAAGTTTCTCATGTCGTGGTGACCCCCCAACCATAAATTATTTCATTGCTACTTCATAACTGTAATTTTGCTACTGTTATGAATCATACAGTAAACATTTGGTATGCAGTTCATCTATGAAAGGGTCATTTGACCCCAAAGAGGTTGCTACCCACAGGTTGAGAAGCACTGCTCTAGGAAGATCACAAAAAAATTTAACTAGAAGAGAGACTTTGGGGCCAGACTAGGTATAATTTAGGCAAGAACATGGCAATGCCCGTGCTACGGTTTGGATAAGTGCAGAATGTGTTAGAGGTTTGGTCCTAGCCTGTAGAGCTATTGGGAACAGGTGAAACCTTTCAGAAGTGGAGCCTGGCAGGAGGGCATTAGGTTGCTTGAGTGTGTGTCCATGTAGGGGATCTTAGCACCTTCATCATCATTGCTTCCTGGACATTGTGAGATGAGAAGAATCTTCTAACACATGCTCCTGCCATGATGCACAGTCTATACATAGTTTCCAAAAGAGCAGGCCAACTGACATAGACTGAACCCTTCAAAACTCACCCCCAAATAAGCCTTTCCTCTTTGAAATGGATCTCTTC